CTGGCAACTTCAGTCAATGTTTTCATAGAATGTTATCGTGAGGAAGAAAATTATAAATAAGCAACTTTCTCAAATACATTAATGTATGTTACTATTTTAGATTTTATTAATTCATAAATGATAAATGCATATTTTATGAGGTGCAATGTGATGTTCCATAACTGTATATATTGTGAAACTATTAAATGAAACTACATAATCATTTCTTTGTGGCAAGAATATATATATATATATATATATATATATATATATATACCTTAATGTTAATCCTAGTTGCTATGCTGAGCAATGAGTCACTAAATCTTTCAGTCTGACTCTTGGTATACTTTGTCCTGCATCACTCCCTTTCTCTTATCTACTCCCCCACTTCCAGCCTCTAGAAACTACTCTATTTTTCTGAGTTGTTTTTAGATTTCATATTTAAGTGAAATCATACAGTTGTCATCCTCTGTATGTATTAGCTCTGCATCTATAAATCCGATCAGTCATGAATTACCAATGATTGATTTATGTGGAACACATACATATGTTTTCCTATTGTCTCTTCCTATACAATACACTATCACAAGTTAAGTATATTTGCAATATATAGTGTATAAGTAATCCAGAATTATTTTGAACTATATCCAGGATGTGTACAAGTTAAACACAAATATCATATCATTTTATGTAAGAAACTTGAGCATTTTGATAGATCCAGGTATTTACAAGATATCCTGACACCATCTATGGGTACTGAGGGGTAACCATATTTTTTCTATGCCTGGAATATTTCACTTAGCATAATGTTCCCAGGTTCATCCATGAAGTTATACACAGTATTTTTACCCAGGGAATTGAAATCATTATTTTGAAGCATTCTCTGCACTTCCATGTTCAATGCAGCATTATTTACATAGCCAAGGTATGGAAGCAACCTATCAGTGGAAGAGTAGATAAATAAAACATAGTATATACACACAAAAGAATATCAGTAAGAAGGTCATTTGTCATATGCAGTAACATTTTGTTCCAATTATAACTCTCAAGAATATTAATCCATGCTTTCTTCTGAATTCAAAAACAAGGAAATTGTCTAATAAACAAATAAATATGAGAAAAAGTGCAAAAGCATATGTTCCTTCTCTTCCCAAATATACAAATTCTCTTTTCAGAATTGAACTTTCTTCCTACAAAGTAAGAAAATTTAGATTCTAATGATGAAATTTCATTAAAATAAAATCAAGTATTGAGGTATTGTCTTTCTAAAAAAAGTACAAATCACACACATTCCTAGAAGCATAAGCAACTTTCTCTAGAAGCTGATACATAAGAAAAAAATCTTTAGATCAGCACCTGACCTCAAATTCAAGTACAAGAATGTGTCCAAGAAAAGCTCAGGGGAAGTTCGAATACTTGGACAGAGATGGACAGGACGTTAAGTCTCTGAGGAAGATGGAGACTAAGGGTTCCAGGAACTTGAAGGAGAGTTGTCTCATTTAAAGTTCGTTTGACTGGCTTAAAAAAAAAAAAAAGTTCGTTTACTTGAGCATCTGTAGAATACTTTGTGGTTCACTAGGAAAGTCTCTTGTTTCTGTAGATACAATAAAAACTTACGTGCTGTTACTTTCCAGTGTACCAAAACAAACATGTTGGGGTCAGGCCAGAATCTTTTCAGTACTACTGTTATAACCATAGTCAATTAGACTCTGGACCAGAAGAATCTGGCCGCAGGCCCTTTAAATGATCACAAGAGAGGAATATGTTCTTGGTCCTGCTTGATTAATACAAAAGAGATCCAATAGAAGTGTAACTTGTGTACTCACCAGCAGTCCTATGGCCTTTGTGGTCTACCATTTTAGATGCCACTGGACCTACAAAAGTACTTTTTTCTTTAAATTCCAGAACTGGTTTATTTATTGGAATCCTGGAGGTCTGGTGAAAATAGCTATTTTGTCTCTGTCCTAGTAACTGTGAAGGAGTCTGTCTATGTATTCAGGATTCTGTCATGTTCAAAATCTACTCCAATTTTCAAATGTGGATGCAAGCATAATAAATGCCAGATCCTTTCTCAAATTAGAGTGTAAATTGAGAGGATATTTGAAACCGATTGAAGTGAGTAAGTTTTTATATCACTCTAAGTTACACAAAAAGTAACAAGCATAGTCCCAGAGAGCCCAGAAAAGAGAGTAAATATAGACCAGGCCTAAGACAGAGACTAATCTGGTGCATTTAGACCAGGCAAACTCTAGGAAACCTCAAAGTATGAGACAGGTATACTAGGAGCTTCACCTTACAATTTAAGTCAGAGGAAAGGAATATTTCATTTGACACAGTATGTTCAGTGACAGACCACGGTCTCTAAACCTGTACCACCTAAATCTGCACCAAACATTCTAATCTCAGACACATTTTGGTGGTATCCTTTCTTCATTATCTTTCATGCTAGTTTCATCAAGCTGGACTCTCACCAGAACCAGAGGTATCTACCGAGATAGTTATTCTCAGACAGGGTGAGCCAGTCCAGTCAGAAATACTAAATACACAACAGGAATATCTGTTTGTTGGAGATGTTAGATTGGCATATATTAAAACTGAACATAGTTTATTTATAAGCAAACCAATAATAGAGCAAATATACATAAATCTGGATCATAGATTGGTCAAGAAACATGTACCACTTGCAAAAAGCCCACAGATAAAAATATTCCCTCCACGCTCATGAGCTCCCTTTTCAATGGAGAAATAAGACCTCACTTAGACAGTATTGGTTAGCCCCATGAAGAGAAGAGGACATAGTGGGGAAAAGTGAGATCTGTTTCTAGTTTAGTCCTATGCAATATTGGGTGACTGTGCGTGGCTGGCAGCCCTGTGAAGGTGAACAGGTGTTGGAAATATTCCCCTCAAACTGAACAACACCGATATTGACCTATGTGGACGTAACAGGATTATATTCTCAGAAATAAGAATGCCCCTTTTCATTAATTTTGTCACCATATGTTTTCAACAGAGAATCTCAGGTATTAGGTAGAGAGTTACACATCAGTCTCTTAGTAGCCCAGTTACAAGACAGATCTGATGCTGATGAAATAAAAGCAGAACTTCACGGGCTACTTCTTCTCTAAATAAGGTAAAATATTGGTGCTTTAATTTCTATTAGCTTAATATGCATTTATTTTGCCACAACAAAATTGGTGAGAATGTGCATTAATTATCCTATCAAATCAGGTATAACATTAGATTTTTGGGACAAATTGTCCATTATGTGTTTAGCTCTTCTTCCAGTTCCCTGATGGAGAGTGATTTGTTACAATGTGTTTAGGGGCCTGACCATGTTATTTGGTATCTATTAGCCTCTTTTCCAGTGTCTGTGTCCAATTTGAGGTTTTTTTACTATCTTTTTTAAACAAATCCAAGGGAGAAAAAGGCTCATAGTATCTGTTCCTTGAATGCAATGAATCTTTGTGTGTGTGTGTGTGTCTGTGTGTGTGTGTGTGTGTGTGTGTGTGTGTGTGTATGTGGAGTAATTGATAAACTTTGTTTTTCCTATATTACTTAATGGATCAATAAATTTAGCAATATTCACTATGCTTGATAACTTAATCTTCAGGAAGCAGTGTTTACATCTAAAGTGAAATTTCAAACTAAAAATCAAAGGGATAATAATCTACAGAATATTCAAAGGTGTTTACATATGAGACGTTAGCCAAAGCACAATCTTTTGTAAGAATGAAAGTTTACAAGTTACAATATGCTTTAAATAGTACAAATAGTAAAAGATAGGTGAACTTGGATTTCACTCCCTCCACTCATTCTAGAGAGATCCGCCCAAAGATCTTCCCAACGCTAACCGCAATTGTACAAAATATGACATCTTCTAAAATTCTTCATGAAATTCTTATGAATTTATCCCCAGTAGAACTTTTTGATGTGCCATTTACAACTCAGGAAAACAAAGGTTAATCAAGTTAAATAATTTTCTGTTTGTACATAAAGTTTTATAATTCTAAATTCAACAGATTTCTTCAGTGATCTTCCAATTCGTTTGTTAATTAGCCAGATAATTTTACCAAATTATCCCTCATTTGATTTATCTTCTTTACCTGTAAAAGTAGCAACTGAATTTTAGTAGCTTTTTAAAAAGCTAGTTTTAACAGGCACAGTTCCCAGGACACTGGTTATCACAGAGTTCAAGTTCTTTTTTTGCCAAAAATTACACACCTAAATAATAACCACAGGGAAATTCCCACTCATTCTTATTTCAAGATATATTCTTGATTATTACTGAAGTTTAACTCCATCTTTCTATTAATAAAACTGGCCCATCAGTGAATAATTCCACAAGAATTTATCATTTATCTTGATTTGACCAATGTCCTAAGTTCTAGGGGTACCGTCACATCATCACTTCTCAAAGAGAACTGGAGCTCCAGAGGTAGATGTTTTACAGGGCTTAACAATACAGCAAGCAAGCAAACAACATGCAAAACGCAAACTCTGTGCAGCAAAGCTGTGCCGAAAACACCCCCATGGTTGGTGGTTACACTAAGCACATCAATTCCCATCACATTTCTCCCTCTACCTTTATATTGGCGATTTGTACTCTATAAGAAAAACATCGAGCTTGAAATGTAATTGCTCAGAATAAAGACTCGATGCCTTAGAAGCATAGTCCAACCTCCGTAAGCTTTTGCTCTATGCTCTATCTGTACTATCAGTGTGTCATGCAGAATAGAAGTCATCATCGTACAGGTTTTCTAGAGATTTTAACCTACGGGAGCACCTTGGTTTCCACACCTTGCAGGGAGGATGTGATAGCAGCCACACACCTAGTGCAGAGCAAACACCCACGGTCCACAGCTGCTCCTAGTGTAGGTGGCTCAGAGTCTGAAATCCTCATTTCCATCTCTTGCTGGGGACTCTCAGAGTGTGTACAGGGAGGGGCAGGTGGGAGTGGGAAAAGCTGGCAGCAGCCATCGCCATCCTAGTACCGGACACCATAGCATGAAAATCGCACTTACTTGCTACCAAGTGACAGGCCTCCACCTCCACGAGGACTTGAGGGAACCCCAAGAAGTAAGGTTCCCGGAGCCCTTTCCTCCAGAGCTTCCTTTTCTTCACGGACCTCTGGGTTCAACTCTGGCTGCTTAGATGTTTCTAGGCTGGTGTCTGCCCTCAGCAGCTGCAGCCGTTTCCATGGGGCCACCTGAGCTGCAGGCTAGGAAAGGGGTGCCTGGAGCAACTCCCCAGCCGCTGACCTGGAGACTTTTCCAGCCAAGAGCCCGGCGTAGCAGTCGGCGGATGGGAAGCTGTATTTGTCTCTTTCCCACTCCTCCCTCCCCTTCCCAGCCACGCCACACTCTCCCCCGCCCTCATGCCCAGACCAGTGCTCGCCTTCTGCTTGGGTGTGGGCGGGGTGATGCTAACGGAGACCAGCTGCAGAGGGAGCACAGCTTTGGCAGGGAGTCTGCGCCTCCAACTGCCTGCAAGAGGGGACAGCTAGAGGAGCCTGAACTGGGGACTGGAGACGAGGGGGTGCGGGGCGGCTGGCCCAAGCAGAGAGGACAGGGGCAGGATGTAGCTAAATCGCGTGTTGTGCTGGGTTTGCCTGGGGTGGCCGAGCGGGGAGGAAAATGAGGAGGAGAGAGGAAGACAGGAAGGCAGCAAACTCGGATTCTTACCTTCAGGGTTTTAACTTTGCCTTGCTGCACCCAACAGAGTACACCAGGGAAGTTGATTGTCAGCCTTCAGCCTCCAAGGCTGCACACTGCTGTAGATTAGTGTGTGATGTAGACGTGTTCTTTAGGGAAGGATTGGTTGGGATCATTGAAATCTCTTGCTTTACCTTTTATTCCCAAGCTAATGATGAGAGACATGAGCTACAAGGAAAAAAAAAGTTTTTCATGTTTCAGAAAACTGGGACTCTGCAGTATAGTCTGAGGGTTAAGGAAAGAGATGTTGGGCTTTGTCCCCAAGAGGGGTTTGGAAAATTTTGCAACAGTCATTTTGTAATCCTCACAGAATACTCTTTGTTGAGCGCCTTGTTTTGAGAACACAGTGTTTTATTCAAAAACGCATTAGTGTGTGTCTCTAGATAATAGCATTTTAAACAGCTCAATGAGGTATGATTATGACATCTAAAAAATATCAGTAATGATTCTGTATTGTCCAACTTGATTTCTTTTTAAGAGAGGATACCTAAATCACCCTGCTGTCTCCCCTCCGGTCGAAATGATTAGTACATTTTCTAGTCCATGGAACTTTCCCCTGGCAGCGTTTCAATTTATGCTCCCCAATAAAATTGTAAACATTATCAAATATCTTAAAGCTTAAAAAATACTTGAAATAATTAAAAAGAAATGTGCAATAAACAAATAAATGGCTCCAATAAATAACTGGCAATATAAGCAAGAGTCAAATAACAGGGAAATCAAAAGAATTAAATTTATGATCTGAATTGGACAAATGTTTTTGTTGTTTTAAAAAATTTTCTTAACACTGAAATAATGTAAAAAGCTAAATCTGAAATATTTTTGCAATGTAAGCTCCTGGTATGTATTTAACTAAGTAGCTTCCTGTGTTGATTTTCTCAACAGAAACAAATGTGTGGTAGGTTTTGTTTTCCACATTTCTTCCTTATGAAATAAAAGTTATATTTTCTAAATTTTTCATTCTAAATATTTAATAGGAAAAGTCTCTACATACTTTTTTTCTGCCTTGCAAAGAGAAATCTGCTCTACCACACTACACTTGGACCAGATAAATCCCTGGCAGCATCGTTCCTCCTGCAGCATGTTTAGATGGGGGCTGTTGATCCTAATTTCACAGGTGTCATTGTTGGGAACGTCGATAGAGCCAAGGTGTGCAATTTTGGTGCATACTGTCACATCTGAGACTGGCAACACTCTGTGTTAGAGAACACAAGCCATCTCTCTTTCTAAAACAAAGAAACCAGAACTCTCCTTTACAAAGTCCTCTGATTGATCAATTTGTTTTTCTGTTAACAGCCATCTGACTCTATGGACATTCTTACTAACAACTTACTTTGCGTTTATAATCACAAAAGTCTCTCCTTCCAAACTAGTGCTTTCATTGTTAATAGCCCTGTCATCCATTTCAACACAAAGAACAATTTGTATGAAACATACAACTTCTGATTTTGTCCCTAGAGAAGTACCATGTTCTTCATATCACCACAGCTCTCATTTCCACATGTGCACTTTGCAATTTGTCATAGCCACTGATTTGTTGCTTTATATAAAAGTTACCTGCATGCTAAATATCTCTTGCATATTCATTTCTTTCATGCTCCCCTAGAATATATGTTGCATGACTGCACAAATGTACTTTCTCCTTTATTGCATCCACAAGTATATGGAACTACCTTAACAAAGGTTGGGTTTTATAGTAAATAGCAATTTACTAAAAGTTTGAACTCCAAGCATGATCTTATCAACTGTATGCTTCCTGGAAGAATGTAGCACCTCATCATAGGAAAAGACTACAGATTGTCTGAAAGATGAAAAGTGTTCATTGCTCTGGCTTCATCATGCCAATATCTTTCAACATTAATGCTTCTGTTTACAAAGATGTGAAAATTTCCACTGGCTGCAGAAACTTGACATGAAGCATAGAGCTACCAGAAAAGGAATTAGAAAATAAATTTCCATCTTGCCTGTTGGGAAGGTGAAGGGACTGTGACATAAATTACCCTACAAGAACACCAAAAGAAACTGTCTTTTGCAAGAGCCATTATAACAAAAACATGAATGTTAAAAATAATGGCAAAGACATGGATAAAAGAGAAATATGGTGCACTGTTGGTGAAAATGTAAATTAGGTGCTTTAGAAAAGAGTACTGAAGTTCTTTAAAGTACTAACAATAGTATACCATATGGTCTAGCATTCTCATTTCTGGACATATATCCAAAGGAACTTATTATTTTGAAGTGATACTTGTAGTGAAGCGTCCATCAACAGATGAAATGACAAAGAACATATGACAGATATTCACAAACACTAGGGGTCTCAAAAAAGTAAGGAAATTCTGTCATTCACAACAACATGGATTGAAATACAGAACATAATGCTTTGTGAAATAACTCGGGCACAGGAAAAATACACTTGTGTGATCTCATTTAAATGTGAAAGATTTAAAAATCAATCTGATAGAAATACAAAGAAAAAAGTAGTTATCAGAACCTAAGGGTCAGTACAGGAAAGAAAGGAAAGTTTCTTGTTGAAGGGTAAAATACTTGTTAGACTGAATGATTAGCTTTCAGTGATTTTCACTGCTTGCACATTTAATAATAATTTATCACAAATTACAAAATATTTTAAAAACATATTTCAGTGTTCTCCTTAGAAAAATAAATTGTTAAAGTGCTACATATGTTATTTAGCTTCAATAAATCTATCATGTATATGTAGGTCTAAATATTATTATATATCCACAAGTGTACACATTTTTTGTTTTTATTAAATAACATACAAAGATAAGCTCTATTTTCTTAGTATGTATTCAAAAAATGAATGTTGCATAGCTGCACAGCCTCCTATCAAGAAAAACTTGTGTCATTTCAGTACACTTCAACCACAACCCTGGGAGCATTACTCCTGTGCCATGTGTTTAAATGGCAGGTGTTGATTCTGACTTCACGGATGTCAGTGTAAGGAGATGGGATAGACACATTTCCTACCTTTATTATGAAATAATAAGGCATGGTTTTGAATTATTGGCAATATCAAAGGCTATGTTTCAAAGAAGAAATAAAATACAAATCATAGTACGAAAAACAAGCTTTCCTGAGCACGTGAAACCTGCAATATACTTTAGGTGCTGTAGATTAAGCCCAGGCTTTATACATGGCAGACAGCAATGTGTCACCGGGCTCTTACACCTAACTCAAACTTATGATTATTAAGACTTTATTTTCTTTAACAATTACATATTGATTGTTTAAGTGTTTTGTGCAATAGCATGGGAAATATTTATGAATTTTTTTCATTTTTATTATACTTACATACTGATGCAAATACAGTACAGTATAGAGTCGGTTGTTTATCTTTATTTCTATGTGTCTAGAATTCTAATAAAATTCTATTTATATGTTTGGATTGTAGGAATTTCTCAAAAAAAATTAAATCCTTATCACAGTCTTCAATACTGTCCTAAATCTCAGACCATAAAAATTTGGACTTAATCGATAAATAAAACTGGAAAGGGCTACTTCAAAATTGTAGAAAACTGAATAGTCTATTTCTCAGAAACAATAAGACATGCAGATATCATGTTTCCTCCTAAAGAGGGTATCAGTATCACTTTTGTGGCAGTTTACCAAATTATATGAACTAAATCTAATCCAAAGAATATATCAAGCAGGGCCAAATTGAGAAATATTATACAAAATACCTGGCTACTGCTTTCCAAATATATAGAGGTCATAGAAAGCAAGTAAAGACAGAAGGACATTTACAAGACCTAGTTTACTAAAATATTACAGTTAGATATAATATGAAACTTTGGAAGGGATTCCAGTCCAGAGAAATGACATGGTTTAAAACTAGTGAAAATTTAATTAAATCTATAAATTAAAAACAACAGTCTGGTTGGGAATTGGGCTATAAACGCTATTCAGTTGTCAATAGCATCACTGGAATCCAGAGCATATAGAGTTGTATGTTCAAATTTGCAGAGAAAAAATGATTTCCAAACTTAATATTGTATACAGAAATAAACTACCCATCAGTATGAGAGAATATGAATAATTTTCAAGGCCTGGAAGCTCATAAAAATTTTTATCCACATTTAAATAATAACATTCTTTAGGAATTCTTGCTTAAGAAGTTACTAGCTAATGTAATGTATACAAGGAAGGAGTAAAGAATTTGCTGAAGGTGTGGCTCAGCAATAGCGTGCTGTCCTATCATGCATGAGCCTTGAGTTTTATGCCCAGCATTGCAAAATCAAGCAAAAAAATGTTCCTAGCAGCCAATAAACAAGATTTAAATTCATGAGAATGTAAAGATATTTCCTAACAGTGGAAATAGATGTGCCAGATACAGAGCAGGTCCTGAGAGCAGCAGTCCAGATGGCCACTGGAGACATATGTATGTTACAGAAAAGTTAAAAGTGAAAACTGTTCACCAGAAATGTAAAAATTTATAAATTTTAGGTGCTTTTCAAAGGTTAAGTCTAAGAAAATAAAAAACATAAATATATATATGGAATCATTATATATATATATATATATATATATATATATATATATATATATTCCAGTACTATAGCTTTGCAGAATGTAACCATTATGGATTTGATCAACTTCATAAAGCC